CTGGGTTGTGTGGTGTTGTACTGGGTTGGGTGGGGCTGTACTGGGTTGTGTGAGGCTGTACTGGGTTTGGTGGGTTGTACTGGGTTATGTGGGGCTGTACTGGGCTGTGTGGGGCTGTACTGGGTTGGGTGGGACTGTACTGGGCCGTGTGGGGCTGTACTGGGTTGGGTGGGGCTGTACTGGGTTGAGTGGGTTGTACTGGGTTGTGTGGTGTTGTACTGGGCTGTATGGGCTGTACTGGGTTGGGTGGGGTTGTACTGGGCTGGGTGGGGCTGTATTGGGCTGTGTGCGGCTGTACCGGTGCCTGTTTCTAGCGGTTAAGGCTAGCTGGGATGCTGGGATGGGACAAGATGGGACTGAATGGGATGGAAAAAGATGGAACAGGATGGGGCAGGTTGGGATGGGACAGAGCAAGATGTGACCAGACGGGATGAGGCAGGACAGGACGTGACAGGATGGGATGGGATGAGATGGGACAGGGCAGAAGTGGATGGGGTGGGACAGGAGGGGACAAGATGAGATGGCGCAGGAGTGAAGGGGACAAGACAGGATGGGACTGGGTGGGACCACACGGGACGGGAGGGGATGAGATGGGATGGGATGAAACGGGCCGGGACGGGATGGGATGGGCCGGGATGAAATGGGATGGATGGGACGGGATGAAATGGGATGGGCCGGGATGGAATGGGATGGGACGGGACGGAATGCGATGGGACGGGACGCCTTTCACCAGGTGCAGGATGGCAGCGAGGATCCTGTGCACGGAGCCGATCTCCTCCGGAGTGAAGCCGATCACGGCCATGGCCTCCTCCACCTCCTTGTAGCTGGCCGCGTCGTCACCCCCGGCCTGGGGACAGCGGGCACCGGGGCCACGTGAGGGCAGCTGGGGGTTCGGGTACCCTGCTCGCCCTCCGGCCTGGCAGCCCGCGGGCTGAGCCCTGTCGCGCTCATCACTGCCGCCGCCGCAGGGCGCAGCGCCGTGGTGTCCCCAACAGCACGGTGTCCCCAATGCCGCCATGTCCCTAGTGCCGTGGTGTCCCCAGTGCTGCGGTGTCTTCAACATTGCTGTGTCCCCAGTGCCGCCGTGTCCCCAACGCCACGGTGTTCCGAATGCCGCCGTGTTCCCAATGCCGCCATGTCCCCAATGATGCGGTGTCCCCAGCACCACAGTGTCCCCAGCGCCACAGTGTCCTCAACACTGCTGTGTCCCCAATGCCACGGTGTCCCCAACGCCACGGTGTCCCCAATGCCGCCATGTCCCTAGTGCCGTGGTGTCCCCAGTGCTGCGGTGTCTTCAACATTGCTGTGTCCCCAGTGCCGCCGTGTCCCCAACGCCACGGTGTCCCGAATGCCGCCGTGTCCCCAATGCCGCTGTGTCCCCAGCGCCGCCATGTCCCCAATGATGCGGTGTCCCCAGCACCACGCTGTCCCCAGCGTCACGCTGTCCCCGCACACGGTCACTCACGCCGCCGGCGGTGCCCTCGCGGGTGTAGCGGTAGGCGCCGGGGTCGCGCTGGAGCTGCAGCGAGGCCAGCAGCGCGGCCGGGGCTCCCCGCAGCAGCTGAGGACAAGGGGTGGCCGTGGGGCCCGGTCACCACCCCGGGCCACCCCTGGGAGGTGACGCTCGGGACAACATCCCGCCTGTCTGGACCCAGCTGGTCCCATCCGGCCCTGTCTTGTTCCATCCCACCATGTCCTGTCCCATCCCATCCCAGTCTGAGCTGTCCTGTCCCAGTCAGTCCCATTCCATCCATCTCCATCCCGTCCATCCCTGCTGGGTCCAAGGCTGTTTCCCTCCAGTTCCATCCCATCCCGTCTCATCCCATCCCATCTTCTCTTCTTCCAGTCCCGTCCCACCTCAAATGTCCCCATCTCATCCCAACCCTTCTGATCTAAACCCAGCTCATCCTGATCCCTCCAGCCCCATCCCATCTGTCCCATCTAATCCCTTCCCATCCTGTTCCATCTCATCCTGTCCCATTTCATCCCAGCCCATCCGATCCCACCCGGTCCCATCCCATTTCATCCTGTTTGTCTCGTCCTACTCCATCCTACCCCATCCCCTCACATCCTATTACATCCCATCCCATCCAGTCCCATCTGTCCCATCCCATCCCAATCCATCTGTCATATCTACTCACATCCCATCCTGTCCACCCCATCCCACTCAATCCCACCCCATCTCACTGCATCCAGCCCCATCCCATCCCATCCCGGCTCACCTGGTAGAAGGAGTGGAAGTTCCTCTCGCCCGGTTGCTGCTGGATGATGCGGGACTGGAGGAAGGAGCAGGGGGTGGGTGCCCGGCGGTGCCACCATGGCGGCCGCGCCGGAGCGCCCACGCGGTGCCCCGCGCCTGCACCTTCTCCAGGAGGTAGTTGTGGATGTGGCCGCCCGTGGGGTCGCCCTTGAAGTCGAAGTTGATGTCCATGTACTTGCCGAAGCGGCTCGAGTTGTCGTTGCGGTTGGTCTTGGCGTTGCCGAAGGCCTCCAGGACGCAGTTGGACTTGAGCAGGACGTTCTTCACCCTGCGCGGCGCAGGGTGGCACGGCCAAGGACACGTGACATGGCACCCCGGGGACCCACGTATGGCCCTGCTGGCGTGGGGCACCCCACGGGACCCCACAACCACCCCTATGGGCATGGGGCACCCCAGGGACCCCCTTCATCATGGGGCACCGCAGGGGCTCCCCATACTTTGACATGAACACAGGGCACCCCAGGACTCCTCACAACTGCCCTATGGACATGGGGCATCAGAGGGACTCTCACATCAGCCCTACAAGCACGGGGTTCCCACCTCACTCTATGGGCATGGGGCACCCCAAGAATTTCACATCACCCTTATAGGCATGGGGCAGTCCCACACCCCACCATGAAGCACCCTAATGACCCCCCTGCACCACCTCTATGGGCATGCGGCATCCCACGGGACCCCACAATGACCCATATGGGCATGGAACTGTCCAAGAACCTCCCACCATACCTATGGGCATAGGGCAACCCCAGGCTCCCCATACCCTACCTTATAGAGCACCTTATGGACCCCCACACCATCCCCATGAGCATTGGGCATCCCAAGGACCCCCATGACCCCCTATGGGCATGGGGCATCCCACAGCATCCCACAACCACCCCTATGAGCATGAAGCTGCCCATGAACCTCCAACCACCCCTATGGCCATAGGGCAACCCTGGGCTCCTCATGCCCTACCCTATGGAGCACCCTATGGACCCTGCTGCACCATCCCCATGGGCATGGGGCATCCCAAGGAGCCCCATAAAGCCTCTACGGGCATGGGGCATCCCACAACTACCCCTATGGGCATGGAGCTGCCCAAGAACCTCCCACCATCCCTATGGGCATGGGGCAACCTCAGGCTTCCTGTGCCCTACCCTATAGAGCACCTTATGGACTCCCACACCGCCCACATGGGCACAAGGCATCCCAAGGACCCCCACAAAGCCCCTGTGAGCATGGGGCATCCCACAGCATCCCACAACCACCCCTACGGGCCTGGAGCTGCCCACGAACCGCCCACCATCCCTATGGCCATGGGGCAACCCCGGGCTCCTCACGCCCTACCCTATGGAGCACCCTACGGACCCTGCTGCACCACCCCTATAGTCACGGACCCCAGGACCCCTGGCCCAAGGGGCCGCCCCGCTGGCCGCACCTCTCCACCTCGGCGCGCTGCGTGGGGTTGGTGATGGCCGCGATGTACTGCATGATGTACTTGCTGGCCTCTGTCTTGCCCGCA